CACGCCATGCAGCAACTCTCGCGCCGCAGTACCAGCTCTCTCTGCACCGCGACACTGCCCCGCACCGCGGCGACCGTTCCCTTTGCGCCGCGCCTCACTTTCTCACAACGTGGCCTACTTTGCCTATAAATATGCGTACGGACCGACGATAAAAAAAATTTCTCTCCCCTTCTGGGAGACGAACCCTAGGCCCATAAAAACACAAAAACTCCTTTTCTCATTCTCTCATTCTTCTTCATCGTTTTTTCCTCTTCTCTTTACCATTTTTTTTTTTTTTGTCCTTCTTCTTAATAATTAGGATTAAGCTTGTAATTCAGATTCAACGCTTGAATTTTGGGATTGATTGTAAGTTTTTCTCTTTTGATTAGTTCATGAAAGTGGTTGATTTGAGGAGAACGATTAATTGTGTTGAATTGATGTTACGTAATTAATTCTGATTGCTAGGGATAGGGGATGATTGTCTTGTTTAATCCCTATCTGTCGAGCTTGATTTGCTTGTTCTTGTGCGAGTTAATATAATTAGGAATCGATGAAATCTTGTTTGATTGATTGATATAATCGAAGAGTGACACTTCGATCTTACAATTGGAAACGATTGAATGTTGATTAGTCGAGTTAGGGTTTTGTTGATTCTAAATGGTTAGTTGATTAGTTCTCTTCTAATTTAATTAGCGACTTTTAGAACCGAAAGAGGAGAAGTCGTAGACCTAGGATCGCATGAGATAGATGATTTCATAACTGAATAATCTATGAGTCTTGGATTAGCTCGAACTTGCTCGTCTATGTTCAATCCCTTGTTACGAAGAGTTATTGGGAGCGAACCGCTAGATATGTAGGCGAGAGTGTCAATTCCAAACCGAATGATCAATTTTCTGACATTACGTTGCGAACTTGAATAAATTATCCCCGATTCCCTAGTTTCTTTATTATTATCTAGTTGGTATTCTAGGATCTTAGTTGATAGTTAATTCCTCCCCAATCTGATTAGAGTGTCTAGGATTTATTTGCTTTTTCTGTGTAATCGATACTAAAGCTAAATTCCGAACTGCCTTCCTCGAGAGATCGACCTGGGAACGAATCCTTCGATTCAGTACTCGGTAAAAATATAACAATTTGTACACAACATATTGGCGCCATTGTCGGGGAAGGAATGTAGGACATTTGGTTTTGGAATTGATTTTATTTTTCCTGTTTCTCTTTAGTTTGTAATTATCGTGTTTTCGTTCTTTCTTTCGTGCATCTTTGTTTTTCTCTTTGTTTTTGTTTTGGTTTTCTTTTTTTTTTTCTCTCTTTTCGTGGCTACGTGTGTTGTTCTGTTTTGGTGTACAGAAGATATGAACTTCAACCGTGCTTTCCCCTTACCGCACACCCAACCTTGGGTCAATGAGCAAAGCTATCACGCCGGGTACCACAACCAATCATATACATACCCTTCCGAGCAGTACTGGGACCCCTTTCCGGTCGAGCAATACTATGAGTCCCACGAGTTCAACGAGAAGCTCGACCGTATCTATGCTTTCGCAGCATCCCGGTTAGCTCAGGAAGAAGAGACCGTAACTCGGTGTGCCCGCCTGAACCAGCCACCTCCATACTATGATTCGTGGGACTATGGCTAGACTTGGTCATATCCTTACGAGCAGCAGTGGGAGTCTATACCTGTTGAGCAGTCATGTGAGTCCCTCGAGGACTCCTCAGAGTACAAAGCCAAGCTCGACCAGGCCCTCGCTCTTTTAGCCTCCCAAGCGGCCAATATGAGCAATATTGAGTCCAGAATCGAGAACCTTGTGGAGCACGTGCAAGCATTAGAGGATCGAGTTAACAATGTCACTCCCGAGCCCACTGCTCACGGCGAATCTACACATAGGGATGAACCTCGGGAGGCAGCTTTGACATACGATGAAACGCTCGACCTCATCCTTGCTCGCATATCTGCCCAGGCCACTCGAGATGTGGAGATTGAGCTCGAATGTGCTCGACTGAGCACACATATGGAGCTTCTTACAGCACACATCGACTCAATCGAGGCACAAGTCGCCGACCCCCACTTTATGCTTGATACTCAACCCCGTATGATGAAGCAAATGTGTGAAGCCGAATAAGACGATAGTGAGCTCCAGCGAGACGTTGATGATATTTCAGGGGAAGAGGTCCATGGGCTTGATTCCCAAGTCCCACCTCCCACCTCCGAGTTAGAGCATCCGTCTTCGAGACCCTCACACTATGTTATGAAGTGGGTGGGATTCAGTTCGACTTGCTCCACATATGAGCTTATAGTTTCGGAGGTTGACGACGGAGCTCGGGTGGAAAAAGCTCTACGTTAAGAATTGGGGATTGCTCGTGCCCGAGACCACTTCATATAGAACATAGCCACCTGGATCCACCGTGCCAGCCTGCTCGGCAAACTTTCTATGCTACCACTTCTGGAAAACACGAAGGCATGGCACGATCGTCACTTCTTTCTGGATCCTGGTTGATTCGTGTACAGGTTTCGTCAAGCTAATGACGTTAAACAAGCGCTTCTTGGGAGGAAACACAAGTGATTTATCGCTTTCTTAGTTATTTTTATTTTTGTAGTTTTATTCTTTGAATAATGGGAGTTTTGGAGTTCTGTGTTTTTCTTGGCAGGTACTAGTTGCGAGCTCGGGTAGGAGAATTGAGTTGAATTAAGAGTTTCGAGGTTCTGGGCTGAGCGTAGGCGAATGGCTTGCACGTGAATGCTTACTTTCCTCGATACACTTCGCTTTGCACACCCTTTTCTTTTTTATCTTTTTGAGTTGTTTCTTTCCCCTATCTTTTCTTTTGAGTTTTATGTTCTTGTGTTAGCTGCGGGTATTAGTTCATTATATGAAAATGATAGGTTCTACTATTTGACTTCCTGTTTTGTGTTGAAGCAATGAGGTCATTGCCTCATTTTAAGTGTGGGTAAGTACATTTGGATTTTGCATGCTTATATGGTGGACCGGTCTAGTTTTAGGTTTTTGTGTTGCTGAGCATGGTATTGGTGGATTATATGATTTGATGATGAATGTTTGATGAAATTGGGAAGTTGTGATGACGGGCGTGTGGTCATTGCCTCGATATATGCTTTGTTCATGACATAATTATAGTTAACAGTTTTTTTACAATATTTTTATTGAACAATTATAAAATTCCAATTACTACAGGCTCCTTGAGAGATGAGTATTCATAAAAAAAGCCCATGAACATGAATTATGATAGCTTTGTAGTGACAAAAGTTTGTTTGGTCGAGCTCCTTATCAACCATAGCTCGAACCAACCATTGACTCTATATATGTTGAACAATTTTTTACTATAGTCAACAGCTTTTTTACTAATATAGGGAGTGGATCCAATGAGACCACTCCTTAAAATGAGTACGTAAGACTCAATCTTAGTCACTCATTTTTTCTACATCAAGGATTTATGTTAATCAATTAAAATATACATTAATTAAATAATAAAAATAATTATTAGTTGACCTCGGAATTGACCGTTGACTCTGTCGTTGACCGTTGACTTCTGATGTTGACTTCTGGCGTTGACCCGTTGACCATAATATGTATTGTGTATGAAGTAAATATGGTGAGGCAAAGTTAGTGTAAATATGTTGCAAAGTTATTGTAAAAATGTTGCAGGGTTAGTTGTTTTTATTTGCAATGTTAGTTGTATTCAGTTTGCAAGGTTAGTTGTCTTTAGTTGCAAGGTTAGTTATGTCTAGTTGCAAGGTTAGTTCTGTCTAGTTGCAATATTAATTTTCTTTAGTTGCAAGGTTATTTGTCTGTAGTTGCAAAGTTAGTTCTATCTTGTTGCAGGGTTAGTTGTTTTTATTTGCAATGTTTAGTTGTATTCAGTTTGCAAGTATGTAGTTGCAAGGTTAGTTGTCTTTAGTTGAAAGGTTAGTTGTCTTTGGTTGCAAGGTTAGTTGTCTTTAGTTGCAAGGTTAGTTGTGTTTGGTTGCAAGGATAGTTATCTTTAGTTGCAAGGTTAGTTCTGTCTAGTTGCAATGTTAATTTTCTCTAGTTGCAAGGTTAGTTGTCTGTAGTTGCAAAGTTAGTTCTATCTTGTTGCAGGGTTAGTTGTTTTTATTTGCAATGTTTAGATGTATTCAGTTTGCAAGGTTAGTTGTCTTTGGTTGCAAGGTTAGCTGTTTTTAGTTGCAAGGTTAGTTGTCTTTAATTATTCTTTCATACATGATGCATACTAAGGTCAACGGGTCAACACCGGAAGTCAACGGTCAACACCGGAAGTCAATGGTCAACACCGGAAGACAACAGTCAACGCCAGAGTCAACGGTCAATGGTCATAATGATATTTAAATAATTGAAAATAAAGAATTAAATAATAAAAATAAAGAATTATTATTTAAATCAAGATCTAAATCTTGTAGCTAGGAATGAGTCTCACGTCCTCACTTTAAATAAGCGGATGCATTGAAACCAATCCCTATATATATATATATATAGAAGTGCTCTCAACTGAGAATGAATCATAAAATTATAAATACTAAATATATTTTTATAAAGTAAAAATTTTGATAAATGCTTAATAATGTTAATTGAAAGAAAAATTATTAAAGTTTGCTAAACTTGAAGTGTACAGAAAAATAAATTCGATAGACTACACAATAATGATAGACAAGATCACTAGTGTCTATGGGATAATTATAATTAACATTTTTAGTCATGATATATATATAATCATATATTATATTATTGTTTGTAAAGTCAAAATTATTCCTTCACTAAGGGTAATTTTGTATTTTTCAACACCAAAACAATGGGACCCATGCCACCACACAACCAGTTGACCACTTACCCACCTGCCACCTCACCTATGTCTCTCTCTCCCTCACACACACACGCCACATCACCCACTAGCACACACAAACACACGACCACACACACACAACAAATGCACACACACTCCCACCCACCTACACACACATGCACACACAGCACCTTCCACATCTCAGCAGAAAAAAATAAAAGAAAAAAAAAACTTCACAGCTCGTCACAACACCAGGCTGCTGCCGTCCACACGCCGGTGACCGCCTCGCTGCCTCCGTACGCGTGCCGTCCATCACAACAGATGCCATCGTCGTCCACACACCGTCCATCACGCCATAACCGTCGTCTTCCTCGCGTCGCTGCCGACCTCCATATACCGGCCGTCCGCCACCGTCCAACCCCCGGCACATGATAGCCCGACTCTCGCAGAATACCGTCGACTTCATATACCGACGACTTAGGCGCAACCGCACGACCACGGGTCTCGCTCGCCGCCGGAAGAGGTGAAGCTCAGTTTTGCCGCCTCTAACCTGCCGTCTCCGACATCCTCATCCACCGCCGAAGATCCGTCGCACACCAGCCATCGTCGACCCATCGTCCTTCTACACCTCGCAGATTAAGTTGTGACTTACAAGCTCGTTCGCCATTAATGGCGGACGGAAAAAAACCGTCGTAGACAATGGCGGCGATCGATGGCTGATTTGAAATTAGATATTGTTAAGGGCATGATTTGCAATTTTATAAACCTTGAATATTTTTTATTTTATTTAATGGGCAAATATGTAATTTATAGCACCATTTTTATAAATGATTATTAATGATAAATAAATTGTACAATGTTTAAAAATTTTAATATGTAAAATTTTAATATGTAAAATTTTAATATTATGAAAAAATAAAATAATAAATATATTTTTATAAAATTATATAGTAAATTATTTCAATTATTTCAATAATAAATATGCACAATTATATATAGTAAATCAAGTTTTTAAAAAAATCATAATTTATATGTAATCACATAAATTAGTGCACTTTTATCGACACGCTGCACTGTATAAAACAACACGGTGCACTTGATAAAACAACACGTGTACTTTACAGAAATTACAGTACTTCACTATATATTTCAACACACTGCACTTTATAGAAAAGCACGTTGCACTTCATATAACGACACACTGCACTTTATCACAACTATCAAGTTGCACAATAGAGATCGAAATCAACCGAACCCAAATTATTTCAACCAAATATAACATAAAAATACTAAATAAAATTATTAACATATTAAACATAATTTTAATATAAATAGAAAATTATTTCGATTATTTTAGGATGATTCGGTTAACCGAACCGAATAAATCAATAAATTATGTTCATTCTCAATTTGATCTGGGACAAAAAATTCGGTTGGTTCAATATGCACAATACAGACCGACAATGTGCATCATAGTGTTGAACGAATTGCATTTTAATATCGGTTAAATTGCACACAATATATTTTACATACATACATACTAATTCTTTTAATAAGTAAATAATATAAAGAGCAAATAAATAAATATTAATGATAATCATGTTTTTTATAATTATTAGATTATTATTCGCCATACAGATAAAAAAATATAAACTATTAAATGAAAATGTTTAAATATTAATTATAGTTTGATTAATTACAAATTGGACCCATGGCTTAAATTGTACTCCCTCCTATTTTTAATAAATGTCGTTTTGAGAAGTTGCACAGTAATTAAGAATCATTTTTTTGCCAATAATAACCCTCATTAATGAGAATAAAGATGAATGTTTTGAGAAAAGATGAAGATTGAATATGAAAAGACGTAGTGTATTTATTAGATAGATGAGGGTAATAATGGAAAAATATGTATAAAAGATCCAAAACGACATTTATTTAGTAAATTATTGACAAAGCCAAAATGACATTTAAAAAAAAATAGGAGGGAGTAATATATTAAAATTGTTGATATTGCAAAAGAGTCCGTCAAACTTGTTAATTTTTCAAAAAATAAGCCCTTGAGTTGAACATCTCAATCCACTGCATCCCTTCTCGCCGCCGCCGGTGATACCTCGACTCTGCCGGTCGTACTCATCCTCGTCGTCGGTGATGCGGCAGCGGCTCTTAGAGCTCCGTTGCATTTCTTTTTCTCCGAGGAAGCCGCGGGTCTGGATGCCCCCCTGTATAAGGGCCACCTCTCGCATGACCTCTTCATAGACGTCAGGCAGAGGACGATTGACCGGATCTCCGGTTGGTCTCACAGACATCTATCTTTTGGGGGAGGCTTGCTCTGATTAAGAGCACCCTTAACGCCCTTCCGCTTCACCTTTTTACAGTCCTTGACCCCCACCAGTCTACGATTCATGAGCTAGACTAGATCCTGGCTCGATATTTTTTGGGGCATGGGGAGGGCTCCGGGAGAGGGAGACAGGTCCACTGGTTGAAGTGGGACTTGGTATGTCGACCCTTCTCTGAGGGGGGCCTCGGGATCCATCGCTTTTCGGACGTCGTCACTGTATTCTCTTATAAGATGTAGTGGCGCTTCAGGAGGGTAAGTCCCTTTGGGCCCAGTATCTTCGCCGGAAGTACTGTCCTAGAGGCGCTGCCCACTCCTGTAGGGTGGCGGCCACTGCCCGTGATAGTAGACAGTGGCGGCGCCTCACCATAGTGGGTAGACGTGCCTAAAAGCACATTTTTTAGACTTTGGGTGAGGGGGACATTATCTTTTGGGATGAGTTGTGGTTTGGTGAGGGCTCCCTTTCGAGTTCTAGACAGGTCACCCACTTTCCCTTTATGCAGGTGAAGGACCTGTGGACGGATGGGGGATGGGATTGGGATAGGTTAGAGAGGATTCTGGGTAGTGGAGCGGGCTTTAGTACCAGGAGATAGATGAGATCCAGCAGATATCCATCTCGGAGGGCGGTTTGGACGGTATGGGGTGGAGACTTACATCTTCAGGTGCATTCTCTAAGACCTCGGTTTGGGGGGAAGTACGGCTGGGAGACCGGCCTAACCTTCTCTTCGGGGCTATCTGGACCGACCTACTTACCCCGACCAACTCTATTTTTCTATGGCGCCTTCTTCTGCGCCGCCTACCAATTGATATCGTGATGCAGGCGAGGGGGTTCTCATTCCCCTCACGTTGTTATTGTTGTGCTGAGACCAGCGTTTTTCAGACTGAGACCTTTAGCCATTTGTTTCTTGAGAGCGAGACTGTGAGGAGAGTGTGGGAGCATTATACCAGTTTCACTCATATATCCCTACCCTCCATAGATAATTTCTTTGAGCTTCTGAGTTTCTTCATACACAGCACACACGATAGACACGTGGGCTTCCTTATTCCTTGTCTGATCCTTTGGGCCACCTGGACAGAAAGGAATAATGCGAAGCATATGGATAACTCTTTTTTGTCTTTCCATGTTATTTTGCAGGTTGATCGACATCTCTCTCTCTCCTCACTGCTTTAGGCAGACTCACGCATAGACACTGGACAGGTTGCACGCCTCCTCACCGCCTTACACCACCTCCACTGTCGCTTGTCCAGCATCCACGCTCCAGAGCTGTTGTTTGGCTGAGATCCGAGCCTCCTTGGGTTAAGCTGAACACTGATGTATCTTTTGACCGACTTACCGGAGCCGCCGGAGGAGGGGGTATGATTAGGGACCATAGCGGGGCTCTTGTTACCGCTTTTCATGCCCCTCTTCGGGCCTCCTCGAGCTACGACGCAGAGATTCAGGCGCTTCAGATCGCTTTAGATTGCTATCTCGATCTCCTCTCACATTTGGATAGAGTTGGATGCTGCCGCTGTCATCACTCTCTTGACCACTGACCATCAGGGCACATGGCAGATTCAACATTCGCTCATGCGTATTAGGGCCACACTTCGATCGATTCTCTTTGAGATCTCGCACATCTTCCGTGAGGGGAACTGTCCTGCTGACTTCTTCGTAGGCATCGGGTCCTCCACCCCCCAGAAACGCATTCTTTATCCTGACGATATTCCTCTTCGCCACTGCACCCTTATACGGTTGGACCAGATGGGATACCTTTCATCCAAATTTGGGTAGCAGGTCTTACCTCTTGGTGCACCCGCCCTCCCGTGATACTGACTCTTTTTCCTGGACTCTTTTCGGACCAGGAGACGATATAGTTGTGTTACTGGAAGCTATTGCCAGTTTTGTATTGTTGTTTTTTCGTTTTTAGTTTTTCTTTTTCGTTTGATTTGTTGTATTTTAGATATTGGACTTGTAGAATTGTGACTTTCCAGCCCATTTAAGGCTTTTTATATATATACAGGTTGGGGGTCTGGCCTAAACCCCCACCCTCCGGAGTGGTTTCAAAAAAAAAAAAAAAAAAACTTTCTCCTCATCAAAAATAGTCCACTATGTTATCATTTCGTCAATTTTAGTACATTAATCTCGAAGGGCCGGATTACGTGATGATGTGGAGAAGAATTGAAACGACGTGTATGGATAGGACTTGGACATGGAATGATTACAATTTTCCACGTCAACACGTAATCCAGCCCCTCGGGATTACTGTACTAAAATTGATGAAAATTGTAACATAGTTGACTATTTTGGAAGAGGAGAAAGTTGGTGTACTAAAACTGGACAATGACCAACTTAGAGGACTAAAATTGAATTTTTGCCGCCTTTAAACACCAAAATTTCTTATTAGAATGTGTAGCCTAATTTTTCAAGTTTGACCAATTAATTGTGCAACTGATTGACGACATAGGGTCGGAAGTTCAAATATTTGACCAAAATAATTAGTTGTAAAGGTGAATAGGCGCAGTTCCCTCAACCAAAGTACATTGATGATGTATGTAATTAATTATATACAGTGTTCCAATGTGGAGGATCAAATCAATGAAATTAGCTAGTAATAAAAAATAATTAAAGAATGATTTGGTTTAGTGTTTTGTACATATGTATAAAGATGATGAAAGATCATGCCCACTGCGCGTGAACCATATTCAACATATTAGTGGCTGCATTTGTCAACTGCGAACATGGCCCCTCAACGAATCGTGTGGACTTTTTCGACAAATTCTTTTTGGGTGACGGAGACGGACAGGATAATGACTTAATGTAGTTTGCCAAGTCATGAACGCAAGACGGGTTTTGCATCTTGAAAAAATCGAGCACCAACTCGACACCAACATGCGCGTAGCAAGAGCAGCTCCAAGGTAATTGATTAAAATTCATCATGTCGTTATTGAAGAAAATCCCTGGCAGCTTGGTGACGGGGTCTTTGGCATTCACTACTCTGAGCACTTTGACTCCCAACTCTTGGCACCTCTCTTTGAACCTCGAGTTCCCAACTCTGGGCCCCCCAAAGGAGAAAACCGTGATGGGAGCCTTAAATGGCCTGTTCAAGCCGAGCTCCGCTATGTCGTAAGCTAGGAGAAGAGCCAATGAGCTCCCCATGCTGTGGCCGGCAAGAGTAATGCTTATCTCCTCGTCTTTGTGCTTGTTCAGTAGCCTCGACACCTCGGCCAGAAGCTGCTCTCGGCAACTTGTTAGCCCGAACTTGTTTTCGTCCGAAGTAGTGTAGAGGCTGAGGAAGCCGGCTTCCACTTTGACGTCCGGCCTCGGGTCGTGAGGGTTGAGGCGAGCAGGGGTCAAGGAAGTATTTAGATTGGCAATCCATTCGGCATTGGTGACGGTGCCACGGAATGCGATGACGATGTCACGTCTGCCGAGCCTGCTCACAGACTCATCGTCCGAGGCTGCCACGTACCCGACCCATCTGCTGGGCCCACTTTGAGTCGTAGTACTCATTGGTGGGGCTGTTGCGTATATGTATTTAGTGACCTCNCTCATTCACCTGTAAATTCAGAAGCTTGATTTTAATTTACTGCAAAAGGGTATTTACTATTCTGTTCATGTAATTTGGAAAAGACTGCCATTAACTTAATTACTGCCATTAGGTTTGAGCCAAAAGACAAGTTCAATCAAAGACAGCTAAAGCCAATGCCTAATATAAACAACAAATAAAACTTAAAGACTTTACTTTTTTAGAGGAATTTAATTTCTAAAAATTAAATTGTCAGGTTGTACAAATAGTCTCCCTATCCTTTACTCGCTAAATTGAGGTGCTTCCAATATTTGGGTATCCTCTCCACATTTAGAAGCGAGCAAATCCAGTTCCATATCTTTTTTCTTTCAGAGAAAAAAAAAATAGTTTTAATTGTTGCAAAAATAGAGAATTTTTTTAATAAAAACTATAGGAAGGCTGGTGAAAAATCAATGGAAGTTAAATTTAGGGAGAATGATAGAGAAACTGTTGGACTTTGATGTATCAAATTGTACACATGCACACGTGACTCAGATAGAACACACTTTAATTGCTTTATATCCTCAGTCATCTACTTATTAAATCTAACTCACAATTAATCCATAATGTAAATATATATGTTACATATTCGTCCAGAATAATACCAGCAATTCTAAATGCAATGCATATGACCCTTCAGATTCCAATTTCCATGCACACAAAAACTGAAACTGAATAAAAAGAACTGTTTATGACAAACGTGATTTTTAAGATTAACCCTAGCTAGCTAGCTACTAATAAACATCAGATTGTATGGTAATGGATTGGGACTAGACAAACAGTCTCACACGTGAACTCAAAAACTTTTCTTTATTTTCAAAAATTACAATTTTTTTTTTTTAAAAAAAATAGCAGTGCTTAACATAGAGTATTAATAGAAATAAATAATATCCAAGGATACAACACATTTTATTAGAATGAGAAGGGGCAAAGAATCAACATGAAAGAATTTCACACAAATCAGAGAGAATATTAATTTCATCAATATGCGCATAATAGTACGTACTTAAATTAATAGTCTCTCATCAACCACTACAAAAAAGCATCAAATTTAATACTTGGAAGTTCCACAACATTAAAACCTAAGAACAACAAACACGCGTACATTACACAATATAACGCCCAGATAATTAATTAATTAATCCAACAAAATTAACTATATCTAATCACATATAGAGTAATTAATTAATTAATTAATAGTAGTACATACTACCACTAATAATTGCTTAACTGCAACAAAAACAGATAATAATAAAATTAAGAAGAGGAGCTAGCCGCAATTATCCCTGGGCGATCGGAGCGGGAACAAGGGGAGGAGCTCCGGCGGGTCGGATCCTCTGGGAGTGCTCAACGGGCTCGGGTGCAGGTAAAACCCCTTCTCGGCTATGGCCCTCTCCTCCTCCTCCATCGGGGTCCGTGGGCTCCCACGCGCCGCCGCGGATAGGTAGTCCAGCGGGGACACCGGCGAGTGCAGGGCGGCGGCGGCGGCGCCCAGCTTGACCTCCAGCTTGCGGGCGGTGGGCCGCCTCTCGTGGAGCTTGAAGGCGGGTCTCCGGGGGCCCACCTCGCCGGAGATGGGTTTTCCGGGGGGCTTAGCCGCGGCGGCGCCGGTGAGGCGCTGGACGACGGCCCGGAAAGTGGAGGGGTCGGCTTGGACGAAGGTGGTGTTGGGGATGGAGTTCGGGTCGAACACTCTGAATGACGGGTTTGGGTTTAGGTTCGGGTTCGGGTTCGGGCCGTTGTTGTTGGAGGAAGAAGCTGCCATGGGAGAGGAAGGTTTGAGAGAGTTTCTAATTATTTTTAGTTTATTTTTTCGGTTTGGGAGAAAAGGGGAAAATGGAGTAGAAGGTGCGGAGCGGGAAAGAAGGGGTTCCTTTTTATGCTGCTTTCTTAGATTTTTTTATTTTTATTTTTTTTAAAAGTATTATTACGGTTAGGGAGAACAAAATACTTGTTTTTATTTATAATGTATATTTTTGTATTGAAATATAACCTAGTACATAAAAGGCCGACATTTCATAGCGAAAATATACTATAAATTTTTTTTATTGAACAATTTATGTCGGATTGTCGACCACTTAATTAGATCACCTCACAAGAGAATTTGTGAAAAAAAATGACCAATTCTCATGTGGGATATAGATAGGTAGATATTAGAACTGTCAAACGAAATGAGTCGCTTGTGAGTCAGCTCGTTAAGGCTCGAGTTTTGCTGTTTTACACTGTCACTCGACATTTCACACTTTTATAAAAACAAAAAAAAAAAATATATTTATGTTAAAAATGTCATACACTCTGGTTATGTTGTATTTTGTGACATTTCAATTTAAAAATATATATGTATGTTGGAAATTATGTTAAAAGTCATGTCTAATAATTATTCTTTTCTAAGTAAATAATCTAGGGAAATATAAATTGTATATTGGGTGATATTAATGGATGAGGGGATGTGAAAAATGTCAGATGGGGAAAAGACTTTGAGGAAGGAAGGTTAATGCAGCTGCTCGCTGCTGTTTATTTTAGCGGCCCACCTTTACTTTTCACTATCTCCCGCCCAATACTTTGGCTAATCACATACCAAACTATTGACAGATTTCCTTCAATGGCACCCGAAGGAGTGGAGATAGCAAGTGGTATGAAAAAATTCCTTTTCTAGGTATAAAATTAAAAGTTAGGAATAAATTTGAAAGAGGAAAAACAATAAATAGGAAACCAAGTGGTGTATGAATGATGAGTCATTTGCGGGGGCATTGAAACGTGAAAGGAGGACTAGACTTCTTACAAACCTACACTAAAACTACACTACAATTTTTTTTTTTTTTTATCAAATTATTACACGGATGGCCCCCCTTTCTCACAGCCCCCTGCTTTTTGTTTCTATCCCCTCAAATTTTACTCTCTGATCATGAATTTTCACATTTTACATTCGAGTCCATATCAAGATCTTGTGTCGTTAGACTAGTAATTTTTTCAAAATATATGTATTTTCATATCATACTTTATATAAATAAATATATGATGTTTCATAATTTAATTAGGAATATTGATTTTGTTAATAAAGTATGAACGGTCAGCTTTTAACAGCATTGTTTGCGAGTGAATAACTGAAAATGATCACGAGGAGAGGCATTGAGTGAGAATGTAGGCATAATTAAAACTTTGAGAGGTATGCATAGTTTGCGTGAGGAAATTGAGTTGGACAGTATATAATATGGGAAAAAGAATAGGAAAAAAAAGAAAGCAGCGTCTAGTTTTTTTCTGTTTCAGTTACATTATTTTCGTTATTTTGGCTTTTAGTTTTGTTCGCACTTTTCATTTATATTACGACTTCACGGGACCTTTCGCTTCACTCACTTGTTTTCTTCCTGCACAATTTTCTGCGATTAATTGCAACACTTTTCTTTCCTACTATCTATCTAAAATGATGTGCACTACATTTAGGTCTTTACATNTTATGAAAGTTGAGATTGCAGATAATTAGAATAAAATAAAGAACGCAACCAAAATTTGCTACTTGTTGAGACCATGATTGGATCCAACAAACACCTTAAGCTCATACCAAATTTAGCAAAACCAACAAAAACTCCACAATCCCAAACAAAAATGATTAGGCCATTTGGTGCTCTTTGATTCTCATCAAGTGCCTAATTTCTTTTGCCGCAAAAGGCGTATAAAAGTCAATGATGCCACGTTGTCACTTTTAGCAAAAATAAAGTGTGTTTGCAAATTTCAAATTGATTGTCCTCGTCTAAGAAAATATATTAAAGAACTTTTGTCCATAAGACTATTGTATACTTTGGCTTCATACTTGAAACTCAACAAATGTACCATCAACTTAAAAAAATTCTTGCTGATCTTGACATATTTATTCAGAATAATAGTTTGTTTTTATGCCACCCAATATTAGTGATGTATAATTCACTAATATTTATGTTTGGTTAAATTAAAAATGGACTTATTGATAAGATGTTTAGCCAAAACGTCCATTATGTACAAATAAATGATGAATACTTTTGGATAAGTCCATTTCTTAAATGTACTTTTTCAAATGTGTTTTCAAACAAACATTTTATATCTTATTTAATGAGCTTATAAGTTTCTTATCTTATTTTGTGGAATGATCTTTTAATTGAAAAAAAAATGGTGATTTCATAAGTCTCTCTAGTTAGCTAGCTTTTAAGAAAAGCCCACGTAAGTATTTATTTCAATTCCAATTGACTTATTAGTTAAAATCTTACCAAATATTTTTTTTATATATGTATTAGTTAACTTGCCAAATTTATTTATAAATTATCAATTATTTACTAATTTTTTAGTTAGATTTACCAAACATAATTACAAATTACTAGGAAATTGATCATATATATACGTAATTGCAGTAAAATTCTTTTCACATATAACGAACCTACTTATACAACGATATTTGAAATGACAAGAAAATTGTCCATTCTAAGTTCCTTGTAGTAAAAAGGTTAATCACAATATGTCATCTACACGATTTAGAACTCTTTGAAAAGCTAAAGGAGATCCCAAGAGAACACTCAATTATCCTACTTTGTGTGGACGACACTATTATGACAATTTTGAAGTAGCAATTTTTTTTTTGTTTTTTTTTTTCCTTTGTTGATAACACTTTGTGTATGGATTATGGGCTTGAGAACGTAAAAATGCACTGTAATTTAGATTAACAAGAAAATATACTTATTTCTCTTTGAATGTATTGTTTGTATGAATAATGAATTGAATGTGATCTCTGGTAGGGTACGTGCATTTATACAAACTATAAAAGGAAATACAAAGATTACAACATGTCAACTATATACGTATTTGCCAGACACGTGTCTGGAAGGATTGTACGCAAGAAGACATATAACAATAATTATTTTAAGGATGAGACGTGATTGAGCGGTCGCTTTTTTAATCCTTTTCTAGATTAGATTGGTTG